TGTGTGTGTGCGCCGTGTGTGTGTGTGTGTGTGTGTGTGTGTGTGTCAGTTGACAGGTTGTGTCCCTGTGACGAGCACAAGGATGTGTGTGACATCAACTGCTGCTGCGACAGAGAGTGTAATGAGGAGGTGGCTCTGTTCACCGGCTGCTCAGTGGACGCTGTCAGGCAAGTCTCTGAGCTCACGTTTAGCTGTAGTTCAGTAGACGAGTTACAACAAATGAGCTTCTGCTTTTGCAATTGTAATACAATTGTCTTTCATACATTTCAGTAGAAATGATTCATAAGTATCCAGGGGACACAAAGCGTTTGCACTGTAAGAAAAGCAGAAACCAGAAAGGACTATTCAAATAATGGCTGAGCATGGATAAATAAAGGCCAGTCACTAATAAAAGGCCGGGGAAGAACATTGAGGAGGAGTAGAATTACTTGTATTCTAATAACTCACATGGTAAATTCAGTGTGTGATGTTCAAGTAATACATCCTAATTAAATTATTATGTAATGAGCAAGGTTTTTCTGCCGGGTTTACACATGGAAGTAACATCTGACTGCATACAGTATATGAACACACTCATCCTCGGTGTTCATCCTTGTTTTGTTTAGCAGTGGCAACAAGCAGCTGTGCAGCCGAGATGTAGCGTCCTACGCTTTAAGAACTACAATAGATGGATACTCTGAGCTACAGTCATCTATCCAGAAAGAGACCAATTATGATATCCTCTGCATTCAGGCACAGAACCGTAAGTCATTAGTGGTGTTAATTTGGATTAGAAATTACATATATTATTACTAAAGTCTTAAGATTCAGTTTTTAAATTGATCTTACTGCTTTATTTAAAGGATATGGCTGGTTTTCTATTTTTTTAATTGCCAGAATATACTTAATATAAAGAAATATGATCATATGAGAACTTCCCTGTAGGCTGATCTTTAGATATACATACCACAATCAGTATGCAGCCATGTCACCAAATACTTCATGATACCTCTTTCTCCATCTCAAATCTGTCTCATTTGCTGACTATCTGTTCCTTCCAGGTGTTGATGGATTTTCTCACCCCTCGCCTGCTCTTCCAACTGACAGCAACTTTGACTCGCTCTTTAAACAATTTACCAGCTTTCTTTTTGGCTCAGAGGAGAACGGTGGTCAGGCACCCACTGCAGAGCTCCAGGCCTCGTCTGGATACCAGGTGAGTCACTGTTTTGTAAAAGGAACTGTTAATCTGTTTGTCTCAAACTAAGTATCTAATTATTTTTAGTTATACTAAGCACGAAATAACAATGTGCATTCTCTGCTGATTGGCTTCTGTTTTCAGTATGGGGATGTGATGGTGACAGCGGGAGTGAGTGGACCGAGAGGGATGTTCTGGCTGCCGGCTCCTAGTGTCACTGCTGACTGCATGGACAGCAGTCCTGCAGGTAACTACTCCTCACTGTAATGTGGGACTGTATCACTTTTGCTAAACTGTGGTAATTGTGTGACAATTATTGGATAATGATAAATGCTAAAACATAGTGGCACAAGTAGGGATGAGTCATAAAGTCAACAAACTGACTCAGTAATGTCAGTTAAGGGCCATCCACACAAAGCATGATAACTATAACAAGAACTATAAATACACCTTTTTAAAAAACATTCTAACTGAAATACGGTTGTATTAAAGCTGCAGTCACTAATTTTATCAAAATAACCTTTTCTCATTATCGCTGAAACTTTCACTATATCCTGACAGTAGTATAAGACATAGATATTCTGTGTAACAATCAGGTTCCTCTGGCTCCTCCTAGTTCTCCTAATTGCATTTGCAAGAATCCACCGGGCCTGAACAAAAACATAGTTTTATAGTGAAAGTTTCAGCAAATATGACAAAAAGTTATTTTCATAAAAGTTACCTACTGCAGCTTGAAGGCTGCAAATTACACATAAACACCTTATTTGAGACAGAGAGAGATAAAGTAGAGACATACTGTCATGGTCTTTTGCGCTAAGTCCTTAATGTTGTCCTCTTTTTTTATGAATAAAACCTGTCTTCAAAAGACTACAACTGTTGTAACAGAGTGCTGAAAGAAATGGTTGTTGTAAGTTAACTTGCAGAGAAGACAGCTCTTAAATCTGACATTTCAGTAGCTGCAGTACCAATTGGTTAGGATGAAGAGAAAATATTGAAGTGAAATTATGCAAAACTGTTTCTCAGACAGCTTGTAACAACACAAGGCAGTTAAGAATGTTATATTTATGGTTGGACCTGCAGAGTTTACTCATTGACATGCTGTTATAGTACATACAACCTACAACACACGGCACAAAGTGCAACTTACAAAAGTGAAACACAGTAAATGCTGTCATAGTCTGAAAAACGTTCTGTAAAATCTGGGTTATACAGCAGATATTCAGGAGAGTGTTGCTGTTATGTTTCCTCAGAAAATCCATCATGCTATTATTTCATCGCTTATTTGTTACGGTATCTGTTAAAGGAATAATCAGAAATTTTAGCGAATAAGCTGTCTTATTTCATTGTAATTTCTTATTTTAAAAATAGTTTTTAAAAATGTGTATTTTTCATTTTATGCATGTTGTTGCTTTAGTTTTTCCTTGTTTGTCTCCACAGCGTTCCTAAAGGATCAGAGCAGTCGGTGTTCCCGCAATGTGGTTCTGAAGCAGGACTGCAGCACTCTGCTGGCCCTCAGCATGGGCACATACACCAGCATCCAGCTCTTTGCTGTGAGTCCCACATTTACTCTGCTTCCTCACAGTGAATGTCCCCCTCAAACACTCACAGTCCCCTTACTTTAAGGAAGTGGAATGATAAGCTAATAGCTGAAGTATTCTTTTGAGTGTTGTATTTTACTTTATTTTAACTCTTCCTTTCTGTTTCAGTCATTTTCCTCCACCCTCTCCCAGTTGACATTTACCATGAAAATTTCAGATAGCTGGAAAGTGTTTCTTAGTGGACTTTTCCTTATTTTTTCTTAAATTAGTCAAAGAGTCTGTATCTGAAAATCTTTAAGCAGTGGTTCCCAACCTTTTTCTTTAAGGGACTGCTTTTATGTCATTTAATCAACTGACAACCCCTGACTAAGTGACATATTTCATATTATATTCAACACATAACAGTAACAGTCCAGAGCAACTGATAAACTGTACAATGAACCCAAACAGTGGAACTGCAGGGAGTGAGATTTGGAGGAATTTTGAGCACATTATTTGCTGTAAATATTGATCAGAGATCAGTTTTCCTGATATTTGTGTTGACTTTTTTTATACAATTCTCTGTCTTTATTATGTATTTTTACATTTTTAACAATCTTGCATACTTAATAGCCTTCTTTTTTGATTAGTTCAGTGTTTTCTCCTCATTGTTCTATCTTTGGTAATCAGTGATAGAAAAGGGGTCCCTTAAGGAAAAGGAATAAGGTTGGGAATCACCTGTATTTATTTATTTATTATCAAGCTTGTACGTATTAAGTAACAGTAACTGAAAATACATTTAGAAAACAGTCAGAGTTTATTAATTACCCCTCATAATGAATGTAACCATATTCCAAGCAGATGGGGCGTGGTCAGAGTGTGGGGAGGTGTGGTTGAAAGGCATACAAAAATCTACTACATCATGAATTTGTCAACTGATGTCAAAAGTATTTCCCAGTGTTACTCTAAAGCAGTAACAGATTTCGTCGTCTTCTCTACCAGATCCCCAGGAGCTACCTGACACTTCAGGAAGCAGTGGTAGTGGAGAAGCAGAGGCGAGATGCTGGAGGAGAGGTCCAGTACCTAACCGATACCCAGCTGGACCGCATTGTTGAACAGAACCCAGGAAGTGACATCAGAGACTATGAGGACCTGCAGACTGGTACTGTGACATGTCCAGCAAACACCTGGAATCAGTGTGACTTGTGACACTAGAATCATCATTAATCACAGTATTTATTTAATGTATCCAGATTTTTCCTCATCAATATTTGTAATTGGCTAACAGTGTTGGGCAAGTTACTTTAAAACATTAAATTCTATCTATTACTCAGTACTTATTACTCATTGAAAATGTACAATTACATTGCTTTACTTATTATTTAGCAGCAAAGGAAAAGTTTAACTTTACTGTACTTACACAGCTGTCAAAGGTGCCTTTAAACAACTCCAAATCGTCCACAACCACACGTCACATCTTTTGTATTTAACACCTGTAGAAACAGAAAATGAGACCTTCTGGTGTAACAAGCAGGCAGCCCTACGACTGGGAGGGATTTACCGACCGTCCAGTGGCTCTCTTAGCCTCGGCAACTGTGCACAGCTCTCATCCTTCACTCGCAGATATTTCCCAAGACCTGGCAAGACGTTCAGATGTTTTTTTTCAGGGAATTCACATAAAAATGTGTGATTTTTTTCGTTGGAATCTGATTCCTTCACATATTCATAAGAACTGGTTTAGCAGTACCAGTAAACACAGTTGTTCATTAGTTGCAAACTCACAGTTCAGTTCACAGCTCAACACTCTTTAAGCACATTCATGCACGTCTGTTATTATCATATTGGTGGTCAAAATGCCGGGGTGTGCATTGTCGTGTTCTTTGTTCTGTGTCTCACTGAACATCCAACATGTGTTTACTGGTTAGAAACATAATACTGAGCTTAAGCTAACTTGCTGATGCTGACTTGGCAGAATATTTCTCTCATTTCTCAGAGTAGCAACATTAGATTTTATGAAATACTTGTAACAATGTCTGACTAAAGATTTTGCCCTTGAATACACCGTTCACGAAGGAACAGCATCCCTTTATGTCTCTCCTCTTTTTTGCTTTCTTCCAGCCATCAGCTTCTTAATAGAGACAGGGACCTTGCTGCACTTCCCTGACACCAGCCATGGCCTGTGTACCCTCTACTTCCTGTGCCCTGTTTGGCTGTCAGAATGCCTGGAGAGGATCATGCACCTCAAATCCTCTCGCTCTGTAGCCAGGAACGGAGTGATCCGAGCTGAAGACCTCAGGGTGAGCTAAAATTTCAGAAAAAAGTTTTGGCTCTCTTAGTTGTTTTAATGAAGAAACTGACTTCCTGTGGTGATCTCTACGATGATGTCTGTTGTGCAGATGCTGTTGGTAGGAACAGGGTTCACCCAGCAGACAGAGGAACAGTATTTCCAGTTTCTAGCCAAGTTTGAGATTGCACTCCCTGTGGCCAACAACAGGTAAATTATTCTCTAAATACCGAATAATACTCAGTCAATACAAATAGTGATTGTCTTGCTTACTCCACAAGTGCAAATGTTACTGTCCTACACTGTAACAACCTAAAAACACTTAATAATAATAATAATAACATAATATAGGCATATGGCAGCAATCACCCTACCAAACACTTTGCAACCAACTAGCTGACACAAAGGACATCATGCACCTTAGCAACTAAATGGTGTCCACATTTTGAAAATGGCTAAAAGATAAAAGTGACATCTTAACTTAGTGAGCTAATGTTTGCGTGCAATGTGTACAAAATGCTAGCCAAATATCTAGCTAATCTACATCAATTGATAGCTACTTAGTTACATTTGAAAGATACAGTAGTATTGACACAACACTTTATTAGTTAGTTAGTTTGCTAACATTTGCTAATTTAAGATGTGACTATATATGCTTCTGTTATCTTTTAACATCTTCAAAATGTGGTTGTCTTTTCAACATAGATTAGACTAGCACATAACATAAATACAGGAAAGGAGGAAGTTGACAAAGGTTCTGACAGAGGCTTGCTCAACTGTTATTGGAGCACAGAGCAAAAAGGGACGAGACTTAAACTAGGGTGAATTAGCTATATTTTAACAAGTACCAATACATAAGCTACCACTGAAAAATGCAAAATAGTAGCTAATGTGAAAGCAACCTCCTAACAACAACAAAAATATTGGCATCAGCAGCAAGCATACCTGAAGACTCTTCATGTTCTAGTTTTGAATGTGTTCCTTTCCTCTTGCTGTAGCTATCTGCTGCCCCATCTCCTTCCCCACAAGCCAGCCATGGACATCCATGGCTTCCGGCAGCAGACCAACAACACCCTGCAGCGCCTTGTAAAGATGAGCTTTGTTCCTGCCGGATTTTGGGAGCGCTTCATCGCCAGGATGCTTATCAGCCTGACAGAGATGGACCTGCAGGTACTGAGACCAGCAGATTTTCATAATTCACCTACTATACTTCCACACCTTCAGCTTTTACATTCATGGACTGGAATTTTGTGTTTCTGCAGTCATTTGAGACCAAAAGAAACACCAGGAGCCAGCGCAGCAGGAGCTCTGTGATCTACAGCTTTACTGGAACCCAGCAGAGGAACCGTTGCAGCACCTTCAGAGTCCGCCGCAGCCAGACCATCTACTGGAAGGAGGGGCTTCTGGTCACTTTTGATGGAGGTTACCTCAGGTCAGAGCTGGGGTTGGAAGGATGTAGGGAGACTGGGACTGGTAGGGAACAGGGGTTGGTTGACATTTCAGGTTTATTGTATTGCAAGTAAAACAGTGGTCTGTGGACTAAACATATTATAAAAGTTTGTGAGGTAGAGATATTGTAAATATGTTACTTCTAGTTCTTGGCCATAGGGATTGGCTACATTTTGATATATGATTTGAAAGTCTGTGATGTGTGATGGCTGACATACTATGATCTCAGAGATGGGTCAAATGTAAGCAGGGTTGGTTGGCACTGTGTTTTAACAGCAGTTTTCTTGTTCATGAACTTGTATCTATTCTATATTTGTTCAGGGTATTTATTTTAGAGATTAAAAACAATATATTGTTAGTTAATTATTATTTTGAATGGTCACTGGCAAAAGTTTCAAATTGTTTAGCATTTGAAACTATAGCATTTGAACAATGTGCAGAAAGTGAACAGTGTGCCAGCCAACCCCAGTCTCCCCTACTTAAATGAGATAAATGCTTCAGTGATGAAATGTTCAGTTCAGCCTGGACTGTATAGGGGATATCTGACAGATGTTTTGAACGTAAGGAACAAGCAATCTTTTATGGTAATATGCACGAAAAATTCAACTGTGTGTGTTTCTTTTTAAATATTACTTTATTGATTTTACACCAGTATTGTGGACAGTGACATTATCTAGAATGTCAGAATGAACTGGTCCCTGATTTGACAGACAGAACACATAAACCAGATCAAGAACACAAACCCACCTTTGCTTCCATCAACTCCTACCCAATCCCAAATTGGAGTTTGTCCACTAACCCCTCCCACTCACATTCCCACATTGCCAGCACTGACCATGGAATAACATCAAATAAAAAGGATATTCATCAGACATTATTTAAAAATAAAATTAAAACCAAAACCAAAAAGAAATAATTTGGGGGAGGGAGGCACCTAGTTGTCCTCTGGGTGGATGGAAGCCGTATCCAGATACTCAATAAAGGGCTTGCAGGTGTTGTCAAAGGACTTTTTTTCCTCTCTAAGTGAAAATCTAATCTTGTTTGTTCAGGATCTCCTTGAGCTAACTATTGTGTGATAAAAGTAAAAGGGGGTAAAAGTATGCCTCCACCTGAAGAAAATGAGACGCCTAGCTTATAGAGTTGTAAAGGCCAAAACACACCCTTTTCATCAATGGAAAACTCCAAATAAAGTCGTGAGAGGTTCAGGTTTTAAGACCCCAGAAAATCAGTTAAGTTTGGACAGGACCAAAACACATGTTTGGACAGGACCAAAACACTGTTTGCACCGATACTGTGTGTCTTAATTTCTTAAGCTGGCTTCACCTTTATATTGATATTCAATTTACTCCCAGCATAACGAGACGTTGACGTGTGTTTGTGTCTCTGCAGCGTGGAGTCGTCAGATGTCAATTGGAAGAAGAAGAAGAGCGGAGGCATAAAGATCATCTGCCAGTCGGAGATGAGAGATTTCTCCGCCATGGCCTTCATCACAGATCACGTCAACTCTCTGATCGAGCAGTGGTTCCCTGGTCAGTGCACTGCTCTGTTTATGCGAATCTGTAGCCTTTGTCTTTAAATCATGATCATTCTTTATTTGAATTGGTCATTTGAGTGTTTGTTTAGCTGTTTGTCTTTAGATAACGTTGATTTGACAATTTGACACATTGATGAAATGAAGAAAAAGGCATTCATATTAAGCAAACAAGTCTTATTTTGGTAGCCGTGCCAAAAGTCAATAATATTGGCACCAATATTAAAAAAGTTTTAAAATGCTACCCTATATAGCACTGTTTTAGACTCAATATACACAAATAGAAAAGTTCAAACATGTTTCCAGTAACCCGTATAATAAGAGACTAGCCAGACATCTCCTTTTTTTTTATATTTGGAGCTCACACTGGTTATTTTGGATAATTATGATGTTCACATGAGTCAGCCCAAAACCACATTACTTGCAGGTTAAAGAAAAGCTAATCCATAAAAAAAATACACTGTTACAAACACTTGGAAAACGCATATGTTGTTATTAAGAATTGTTATATAATTTGTGGTATACTTAAATGACCTTTATGTGTTAAAGATGCATTAGTAGTTAGGCCAACAAGCTGAAAACACAACATGATCCCCTGATAAAGTTGTTGCTTATCTTGTCTTGGTAAACATATACACATGCAGCAGATGTAGAGGGTTTCCTCGTGGAAGGTGATTTCAGCAGGTGTGATGAGATTTATACAGCCAGTGCCTTTTGTTCTAGAAAGTAAAATAACTTTATGTAATCCCCATGAACCTACCAACGCTGGTGCTGCAATAGGAGGGACAGTGAGACTTTTCAGGTGTTACAGTAGAGTTTGGGCCCCCCTTTGGTGATTTTGTAATTGAAAAGCCTTTCAAGGATATGGTACATAATATAACATTTTCAGCAGACCTTCATGCATAGTTATATTTGATAATAATAATCATTATCTTGTTGTAGAAGCTTTCCTATTTTCAGCTGCAGCTTTTTACAGATGCTGTGATGTTTGTTTCCACAATTTGCTGGTATTTAGTGGAATCCATGCACCACCCATGCAATGTTTCCTGCAACACAACCCCAAAGCATGATAAATCCACCCCCATGGTTAACGGTTGGAGAGGTGTGCTTTTCATGAATTGCTGCTCCTTTTTTTTTTTTTTTTACATACAACTGTATGGCAAGCTCTTCAATTCTGCACTGACAATATGTCAGGGGCTGACATTACTGTTTCAGAGGCTGTAGCTGGCTTAAGGCCTTGGCACACCAGGTCCATATTTTTTTATAAGCATTTTTTTCTTCGTATGCATCCATTAAAATTTGTTACTCATCTTGCACACTATTTTGCTGCTTTACTATTCTATTCATTGCAAAGTTCACAATGTGAATCCTCAAGCGTTGAAAGTTGAAAAACGAAAAGGAAATATTGGGTCCAAGGTGAGTTTCACCTGCTGATAAATGGGTCTGTTTCTCGCTCATTCTCTCTTATTCCCTCCCTAGTTCTCGCCACTGGAAGGTCCTCTGCTGGCTATCGCTATCTCTGCCCACATCTTGCATTTGGCACTGCAGCTACAAGAGAATGAGCTCCAAAGTTAGGCAGAATTTTGGCAATGGAAAATCTGGCATGGCTGATTTTAAAGGGGACCTCTGACCTCAAGATATCTGAATTAAAATGGGTTCTATGGGTACCCTCTCCTTTACATCAGACTAACTTCAGCCTGCTATTTGAACAGCAGCACAGTTTCTTCTCTGAACATCATCCAAAATGTATAGAACCCTGGTTACATACTGTACCTGACTCTTGTTTTTCCTCACACCCTTACCTGCTGCTCTGATTGATTATTACAAAGTGAACGAGAGATGTGATCAATCAACCACTTCAACCTGTTGAGCTAAACCAGATAAATGGTGATGCATTTCAGCATCAGCCTAGTCACTGGATGTTGGATGGTAGTATAAACATTAGGCACACATTAATTATGTGGCTTTTGCTGTGTGATGTAGTGCCTCTGCTCTTTCTTCCTGAAGGTTAATGTTTCATCAAAGTGTAATCATTTCTGCTGACATTTGCAGGAGTGGTCTTTATTTCAGGCAAGGTGCCTCTGATACAATATGTAGAAGAAACTCTGCAGTCTCTTTTCAGTTCTGGATTCCAACTCTGGAACAAGATATCTGGTTCTTTATTTGCTCAATGCTCTTCTACATTCACCAACTCGTCACTAACTTTGTTTATTTTCTGCTTGTTACTGTGTTGATGGGTTAGGTCAAACAATTTTTGTTTGAATTAAATTTAAAGGCTAAACAGACTAAACATCCAAAATGGATTAGTTTTAGAAATTCATCATTTTCTAGCAGTGCCTATTTGAAAGCATGATGAAAATACAGCTTTACAGTTCAAGTTGAATCCGATTCATAATTAAATATGTGAAATATATAATGTTTTTGGAACAAATATATATCTTCTTTTTCACAATATCCTATTTCATCCAGTAATAGTTTTACACTTAAAAAATGCTTATTGAAATGCAAATGTTGTACCTTGTCTTGAACGCTGTGCTCAAACCAGCAATAGAATGTGCAAGGCCACATGAAGGCGGATGCTCCTAACAGCCTGATGTAGAAGTGATGAACTGTAATTACCTCCAAAAAAACGAGAAAATTTCGTGCAGACAATGGTACTCCAGAGGGCAGCAACAGACAATTATGTTTAATTTTAAAGATTATTGTTTTTATTGCATAGAAAATGCACAGAAAATGCATAAATACATCAGTGACATGAAATGTGACGTATGCTTTAATGATTAATAACCCCCTGTAGGTTGATTTACACACGTTTATTTATAGTAAACCAGCAAGCCATACTGGATGTGCTGCCAAGTTCAGACTAATGATTGTTTTAGAACATTGCAGGGAAAGGTTGCTGGGTTGTGAACTGGTTGCTGGTTTTAGAACGTAAAGCATGTCACCTGTTTCAACAACCAATCGGCTCTTTGCGTTGTCAGCTGGTCAAGTCATCATCTTGTGTGGTTGCATTGGTGTAAACTGGCAGGGTTTCAGAATGTTGCAGACCAGCACATTGAAAGTAGTTGCAAGTTTCAACTTGCCTTGTTGCGAATATTTGGTCTGAACTGAAAGTTGGAGCTTCTTGAAACCACAGACTACACAAAAAGTTGATATTTCATATTTTTGCAAAAACTTTTCCTAGTTGGAAATGTGCTCCTACCAGGAAATGCACTTTCTAACACGGTGACCCCGAGAAACAGCTGCTTGCATGTCATCAAGTTAATTGTTGTGATTCCATATAGGTACTGGACATTGTGTTATTGTGTGATCTTGAGAGTAGTTGGTAATTCCTGAGTTAGTAAGTGATGCTTTAGTAAAGGAGTAATTTCAAATATTTATTTTTTAAGTTTTTATACAAAATTAATTTGCTACTGGATGTCGCACCAGAATCTTAGACAAAAACGGCTTTGTTCGTCTTTCCAACAATCCCCAAGACTGCTTTGGTTAAAATAAACCCTTATTTCACAGAGTTAGATGTGAAATTATCTGTGAAAATGGCTGCAATGGCCACAGCGTAAGCTAATGTTCTTGGGGATAAATACCCCATCAAAGGACGTCCACTAAAAGGGCTTGTTTGTTGTTCAGAGTATTATAAGTGTCTGACAACGTTATGGAAAGGATCCCTACAGAGATAACCAGAAACATAATATTGCTTTTATTCGCCACAAAAACTATACATTTGTAATTTTACCTCACTAATCTCTGTAACATCTAAGGCTGTGTATTGTCAAGAATCTAGCAATATGATACGTTAGGAAAACTGTCATAGTATCATATTGGTATCATATTAACACTGCTATCTTGCAGTCTCTCTAAAATCAGTAGTGAGAAACGATACAATATCATAAAACAAAATATCGCTATACTCAAATGTATCGATATCGTAGATGATAAAAACAGTCGCTCTACTCAGCTGCACACGGAGCAGACCGGCTGTGTAAACAAACCAGAGAGGCTGCGATTGCAACACAGGCAGAGGGAGTGTGGTGTTTTGCTGCTTTTTTAAATCTAATATATAAAACATATAAACAGATGTGTATGATATGTGCATTCTGTACTCTCTTTAATGTTTAAATATTTATCCTAGGTACCTAAAATGTGAAAATATTGGCACAAGCAACTGGTCATGTACATGTTTTTTGTCTGTGTGTCCTCTGTTTTAGCTTTGACGGCCAGTGAGAGTGATGGGAGTCTCCTCATAGAGCAGTACGCCCCCTGTCCCCTCTGTGCCTCACTGGGCCAAGACGAAGAGAAAGGAGGACATGGAAGAGATGATGATGAAGCAGGAGGTGCAGGGGTTCATTACTTTAACATGGAGGACTGTGTGCTGGCTGCAGTAGAGAAAGAGTACATCATCTGTCCTCGGCACCCTGAGCAGCCAGTCAGCCTTCAGGAGCTGGTCCCAGAACTCTTCATGACTGACTTCCCTGCACGGTAACCTGACACCATTTAATGGACCATTTCAATTTACAGACTGGAACTTGTGGAAGAGATCTGGAAAGTGTCTCACTTAGTATCAGTGGGTTATAGATGGAAGGCAGGATCAGGGCAGGTATATCGGAAAAATGGATTAAAGCTTTCCTTAAGGATCTCTGTTGCTGTATCTTTAATAATGGTACACACAATAACAGTATGCAAAGTACGACTATTTGTCCTGTTACAACTGTTACAACTTATTTAAAAAGAAAAATGTTTCCACCAGTAAAGCTGGTTTTAAGAACAATAAATCTTGCTTCCAACTCAAAGCAGTCACACTAATCTGCTATACAGCACACTCCACAAGGCGTCATTATGAACAATACAATAAAACTCTCTTTTAGGGTTACATATTCCGCCAAATTAGTCACAAGAAACACACAAGAAGATTGTGGTGTAGTAGAACTTAAAGGTTCTTTATGTGACTCAGAAAACCATTGTTAATAGCGACACCAGTGACCATGAAGAGAACTACAGTCAGCGTCCTGTTGTTTGCGCTCCATACAGTCTGTAGGCGTAAGCGAGCACCATCCAGGCCATCGGCCCAAATAGAATAACTTACTATCTGCAATGTTCCTACATTTTTTATACTTTAATTAGCTTGCTGCTTACAAAGCACACCATCAGCCAGCACCATGAAGCAACCAACACCAGACCCACACCACAAAGGCAAACCACAGCCAGCCAACCCCATCCAGGGCTAACTTACAGTTAGTTGGATACTTTAGCATTGTCTTTGTGTGTGTCTGTTTTAGCGGACTCCACTTTGAGCTAACGCTAGCTGTTGCACACTGTAATGAAGCGGAGAGAGAAGGCTCTCGGGAAAGTGCATAAAGTGCACATCCTTTGGGTTTTTGCAGAAAATCCTACCCATATTTCTACACAGAAATCCATATTCCCATAGCAAGTTGGGGAAGGTCTCATATTTCTTCAAGTTAACAGTACAACCCATTCACTCATTGGTTATAAATAAGGGATTAGTCAAAATACTTTAGAATCATACATATGACACCTTTAATTCTAAAAGCTTTAGGCATTATTTCTAGCAGTTATGTTGTACCCAAAGTAATACTTAGGATCTGTTGGAACAGCAGCAGCATGTGGCACAGCCACAGCACATTTCAGTTTAAATCTGATAAAAAGGCGAATGTATCTGGTGGACAAACTATGCAACACAGACACTGTTTCTAAATGACCTCAAATATATATTTGACCTTTGTCTATTTCTTGTTACTTATCAGCCAACATATCTGTGATAAGCTAACATTGGTTCAGCTTAAGACATTACATTAGCTGTAGATGTGTTTCAGACACACTTTTTCAGTCATCCGTCTCACACATCTGACAGAACAGATAAGCTTCAGTTTTCATCAATACTACTGTATGCACAGACCATGTAACGGCTCATACTTTGCGTACAACTGTGACCCAGAGCATCTTTGTAGGTTTCAGGCCTTCAAGGCTGTATGTTGTCTCCTCTGAGTGTACAGCAGCACTGTGGCTGAATATATCTCGTCTGACACTGACTGAGAACTGAAGCTGCTTTCACTGCACTGCTGGTGTAGACGAGTTGTAGGCTCAGGCTGAGGCTCTAACTGTTGTTGGCCTGTGTGTTATGAATGAATGCTGGATGCTAACTGACTGCCTTTTGATCATTTTAAGAGAACACGAAAATTATATTAGAATATTATATTTATTCGTATACAGTATGTCTGACTTAAATGAGATAAATCTTCCACGGACCACCTGCAGCAGCTGCTCAGACCATTAAGTGTCCATAGACTCACGGTTGAGAAATGGTATTTTATAAAGAGGAGAAAATGCTGTATACCTTTTTAGTTTTGTGCTTTAATGGCCAACGTGATGCTCATGACACCAGTCTGTGGAGAATTGTCATAGTGTGACAGGCTCATCGGTCCTTCCACCAGACACATTCCACAGGAGCTGGCTAATTTAAACAGTACATGCTAAGTGACGGCTACACACACTCTCTCACACACACACACACACACACACACACACACACACACAACACACACACACACACAGACATGGTGACAGTCAGCAGCTCTCCAGGGCTTTGGCTGCATAATGAGTTTCAGCTGATTTGTTGCCAGTGACAGCATCTCTTGATGTATTGTCAGGGCTCAAGGGTAACCGCCACTCCTTCAACTATTGGAATAAATATTCAGTCCGCCTCTGTGTCCTACACACACATACACAGTCCATGAGGTTCTCAGAAACACTGTGCGTATGTAGGCGGGCGGTGTTAGGGGGTAGGGGGGTGGTTAGTTGTGCAAGCATCTCTCTGTCTCTGTAAAATCGCACTGACCCATGGAAATGTTTGCTGCAACAGTTAAACAGCCCCTCCAAATATTAGTACAATCGCAGTTGCAAATGTTTTGTACTGGAGCTCCTAAAGAATGTAAGATGGCTATATGGTCGGCTATAAACATGAGTGCCACCAACTAACATCATCCACTTTTACAGCTGGATGCTATAAGTGTGCACGCAATAAGGTTAAGGTTAAGGTTAATTCTGTTAGCTTTGGCCAGTATTGGTCTTTTATTAAAAATGTAATAGCAGACAATATATTACATTGCATGTTTTGCATTTCTGATTAAAATCCATATAAAGCTTGTGACAATATCACTCATACACTTCAGTGATACCTCTAACATGGTAAAGCATACAACACCATTACAACATTTGGTAGCAGACACTTTGTGTAGTCCAGTGATTCCCAACCAGGGGTATATCATGGGATACTTGCAGTTGCCAGGGAAATATTGTGGAGTAACAAAAAAGTAAAAAATATATAAATTAATTTAAATATATATGTAATGTATAAATGATTGTAAAAGTCATCAACAATGAATAAATAAATGATGACGAGTTAATACAATTTAAATTTAAAAAATCCTCTAAAATGGATTAATGGTTGAAAACATCCAGCTTGTGCCACAAGTAGTGGAGCATGTGACACTGAGATATAACATTAGACAATCTTGGACAAGATCACTTCATTTCAGTTCTATTAGTTCTATCTATTATTTCTACATATTGGGGCTAATCAGAGTGTATTATCATGCTTATACCATAAGTACTTATCAGTCTCTTACCATACTCTTTTGTGCTTTTGGTCACTTTAACCCAAAGTTACAATAAGTGAGTTATGACTTATCAGGATCTGATGAATAAGTAGGAAAACAACTGTATTTATTGATAAACAGTTCAGTCAGTTCTCAGCAATTTAGTATGAATTAAATACGATAATAATATATTATAGTGTTTGAGTGCAATGATCTTAAAACAAATTTGATAAAGATTGACATATACAATAGTAGTCCATTAAAATATAGTTTGAAGATCAGAAGATCCTACTCTTAACCCTTGATTGATTGGGCTAATTAAAAAAAATTAGTAATTAGAAGCAAATGTGAGCTCAGACTGCAGAAGTTGTGTTCCTGCAGATTTACCACCAGATGACTGGCCTTCAAGGAAACCATTTCCAGAGTTAACATTAAAGTGCCTCAATCATTCAGACTGGAGTGCTGGAGCTAATTTAAGCCACCATCTTGATTGGTTTATGTTGTGCCTGTGGTTGAAGCAGCACATCAAAGGCCTGTGAGTGGAGGGTGATAGAGGGATGGGCGAGGAATGCAGCCCCACTGTCAGCCTGTAGCTGATGGAATAGAGGCTGTGTTTCTCAGATGTGACCAATAGACAATGTGGTTAATGTTGAGGCTATAATAAGGGGGAGGCAGAACCTTGGTGGTGCTGGTTTTGACAGATGTGAAGTTTTTGGACGGATGAGAATTTGTCCAGCCTGGTTTTAAGCTAATATTGATGTTTTGGGAGTACAGCTGTTGATAGCTAATGTTTTGTGCCAATTATCAAGTCTTTTAGCAAAGTGTCGGCAAAAAGTCCAATAATCAGAATTTTTAAAATCTTAAATCTCATTTTGACAGGTCTTACAAATGTATTGGATTGATGAGGGGGGAAATAAGTATTGATAACGCTGTAACAACTGTGAAACGACACCAACGTAGAATCAATACAGATTTTCCTTCATTGGCTTTGGACAGTGTTTTGCCAGGTCTTAAATTGCATTCATAATGGTAATAAAAAGGTCTTAAATTGAATCTGTTGAAACCTGCTGAAACTTTATTTGATCCGACCGTTTACATTTTCATCGTTGTGACAAGAGGACATTATTTTAACCCCCAAAATAGAGCTAAGTCTCGGATTGGTAGAGCTAGCTGCTTACCTGCGAATGCAAACGGCGAGTGACTACTTATTATTACTAAAAAAAACTTTATTTACACACTTCCAACAGGTTTAAGCTAACTAGTGAGGTACTATACGATCATTCACATTCTGTTTAGATCAACCATGATTTCTCTTTCAGACATGGAATGAGTCAGTATTTGTGAGGGCCAAGTTCCACTTGCTTTGGGTGGAAACACAGCTAAAGGTCATGGAGAACATAAGAGATTTAAACCTGGATTTAAAGGCAGTCAAAGTTGGTGCAAGCTCCAGTTCAGTTCCAGAAGTTTGTTCCAGCTCTCTGGTTTCCAACTTGTCTAATCGTCTGAATGCACGTGTAACAGCAAATGTCAAACTGTCAGTATTTGGGACTCGATGATAAACCAGAGCGCTTGTGTGTACATGCGTTTTTCTGTGTGTGTGTTAGGCTCTTTTTGGAGAGGGCCCAGCTGGAGTACTCTGAGGGGGAGAATGACATCCTTGGCCAGGGCGGCAGTGGGACCATCATCTACCGAGCCCGATATCGTGATCAGCCGGTGGCTGTCAAGCGCTTCCACTTCAAGAAGTGTCGCCAGCTGACCATCAGCAGTGACACAGGTAGAGGCATGTTCTTCTTTTAAATGACAGTTCTGGTTTTCAGTGGAATTCTTTAATGGGTTTTTGGAAGCAACATTGTAAACAAGAAATTCACTTGCCACTGGATGTCTCACTAGAGCATCATATCAGACCAAAACAATGGGACAGAAATAAAATGAACTACCAAAACTGTCTAACCCCTTAATTCACAGAGTTAGATGTGAAAATATTCGTGAAAAGGGCTGCAGTGGCCGCAGCATTAAGTCATGTTTATCCTTGGGGACAAATACACCATCAAAGTACATCCACTATAAGTTCTTGTTTTGTCCACTGACTCAAATTTTTATTCTAATTGTCTGACAACCTCATGAAAAGGATGCCGACAGACTTTTTGTTTAGCCAGAATCAGCTGTAATATTGTTACAGCTTGCCACCAGACTCCATAGACAGAAACGGTAGTTTTGCCTTGCATATCATAATAATACTGTAACTTAATTCAAAGTAGACAGAAGTCTTTCCACTGTTTCAACAATCACCAACTCTGGCTGGTCGCTCTACAGCTGCACACGGAGCAGACTGGCTCTGCAAACAAACCACAGAGAGGCTGCGATAGCAACACAGGCAGAGGGAGTGTGACATTTTTCTCTGCTCAGAACACCATGACTCCACTATATCTTTATGTAGCAAACAGTTGTGTACTGTTATATATGTGTAAGGCAACTCTTCTGACCTAGCTCTAATACCTCAGCACTGTGGCTGCCGGAGACTGACTTTGTGTTTTGCTGTGTAAAGGCACAGGAGACAATCAGAAACCAGCTTTCTGTAGCCAAGAAGCAAATCTCTACTTAAGGTCATAATTCAGCAGGTTTGTTACCATTAGCATTAGGTTGCATTAACATACACTGACCCCCTCCCAAGTTCTATGTGGTATAAACATGGTCAGCTATGAATCTGTCCAGAGAAACAGAACATATGGGCTGATTTTGGTCATGATTACATTGTAGTGTGAGTTCTCCTAGTGTATAATGTCAGTGGTCCAAGACACTGCAGCATAGCTTCGTGTCAGTCCATATACGGGCTGCCGCCAGACAAACCTCTGATACATGGCTATATGCACCTGCTATTTTTAACTATCAATGTTGCATTCTCAATTGTTTTATTCAGTGCTCACACATAGGAGAATATGATGAAATGGAATGCAGACTTCTTCTGCAGCAGATGAATTTTTGTTTTTGAAAGCAGTTATAGATCAATGTCAGCTTAGTTATTGCCGTCACAAGTTAGGTGGAAATACTACAAACAACTCTGTAATCCCCACTGTTTAGTCTGTAACTGCACAAAAGCACTCAGAATTGAATCAAATCCAAGTGGCTGTTCCAAACAATGTAATTTTCTCACTACAGAAAGAACACAGTCAACAGAGCCCAACCCATCAATCTCTCTCCTCAGGAAGTTCATTGATCTTACATGCCAAAATCATCCCATCATACGGCCTCAATGTGGGACATCAGTCACATGTTACTAGGTAGTGGTACGTGGGGCGATAGTTTCTATTCAAACATGGTCTATGGAATTTGATGTGAATGGAATTCTACGAAGAAAGTGGACCTTCAGTTGAGATTCATTTGTCACACATTCTGCACCTCATATTTACACACACAGACGACCTTAGTTACAGATAGCAAAAGGAGGACATGGAACAAAGATTAGATTACATTCAGCCTTATTGTCATTGCACAGAACACAAATACTGAGACAACAAAATGAAGGTTAGATTCTAAGCAAAAGTGCCGAGTAAGGATGGGACAATATACGATATTATCATATATCGTGATAAGACACTCACGTTTATCGTAGTTCATTTTCATTATTTGGATAGTGCATCTTTCCAGTAATTCTAAAACCCTAAGCCTGTCACATGGCCTAAGGCTTGGCCTGCTTCTCCAGCCCCCAACCCCTCCCAACAAAAAAAACACAAAACCGGATGTGTGGAAAAAACAGATTCCAAACTAAGGACCGACAGGGAGATGAGGTGCCTGTCTGAGGTGACCTCATCGACATATGAAAGATGGATGTCGTGTCTCCACTTCCTCCCACCGTACAAAAATGACACCAAAATATCCATAATGCGGATGCTGCCAACTGTCCAACCACTTGGAACCAGAGTCTACCCAGTAGTGATCAGGGGTGGCACCGCGGTATCAAAGTCCTGTCCATAAGCCTGGCCGACTAAATCGCGAGCAGGGCTCAGCTGTCAAACATGATGTGAAACTCCCTTTTTTGTAGCTTCAAATAACTAATTAAAACCAACCTTATTAGAATCCCAGAAACCATCCTTTGGAAACATTTATGACGTCTACTGTGGTGTTGTTGGCAATAGGCTTTATGACCTATACTGTAGACAGCCACCAGAAGGTGATCAAGATGTTTGGGCTTCACTTTGTTCATATCGTCCCATGCCTAGTGCAGAGTAATATACACCAATCAACATTGTGAGCACCTGAGAACCCTGTTGTTCCGAATGTTCTACAGCCCCATACCAACAAACTGTGATGCGTTGTGTGTTCTGACACCTTTCTATCAGAAGCAGTTTGAGCTACAGTAGCTCGTCTGTTGGATCGGACCACACGGGCCAGCCTTCACTCCCCACGTGCATCAATGAGCCTCGGCCCCCCATGACCCTGTCTCCAG